TAACACTGCCAACAGCATTCACCCACACCACGGAATTGTCGATGACTGTTTCTGCGAAATGCTGCTCAAGGCAATGCTACGAGCGCGCTTAACGTGCCTGTTCCAGCGCATTCGAAACATCCCCGATTAGAAGGCACCGGTAGAATTTCCAAGACATTCCCTGGTTTTCCTCTTTTTCTTTTTTTTTTTTACCATAACGAATTTATCGTCGCGCTACTTTTGTAGTAAAATGTAGGTTTTGTACACCTGCAGTCTAGCAGTTTTTTAATAACTTTTCCTTGCATTCGCAGAAATGCAGAAGTGAATTTTGTGCCTGCTCTGTACTCGTTTTTCGCCAACCGTTGCGATTCTGGAGCATGCATACACATTTGGCCCAAGTACACAAAATTGTGGTGCAGGCGCTGACGCAGGCCTACCTCCTGGTGCGCAGCTTTGCAACAAAATAGTTTTTCACAACGCTTTCTGGAACATGTCTGGGCAATACAATTGCAATCGTTTAACAGCTGGATGCCGGGAAATATTACAATCCGTATTTCCCGGATGGCGTCATCGGCATGCCGCAACAACTTTTTGACGGTGGAATGGAATTCAAAGATGGCACGCCAGCGACAGCTAGTCAGCAGGCCAAAGATATATGCACTTTTATGCGGTGGACTGCCGAACCGTTTTATGAGAGGAAGAAGAGGCTGTTCTTGAAGGTTTGCAAGATTGCTCCTTATCAAAATAGCCGGTGTGCTAACTCCTCTCACGGGTAGCTCAGATGAGACTCAGAAGGTGGAAATAGCCAAATGGGGGACTAGTTGGCAGTACATTTCGTCATAGGGCAGTTAAGCCATAATCTTATGGTATATCGCTCTCCTCACAAAGATTGCCTTTTTCGTTCCGCCATATCAGCTTTTCATAGCTCATCCTATAAAGGAGACCAGGGAACTGAGAAATGAACTCAGTGCGGACGATAGCTACCAGCCCGTCTTCTTTCAAGTTGCTTGCGAAGCAGTGTACATAAACTAGTGCTATATTTAACGCCTGCCTGCTAGCGACTTCGAAGTTCCTCGATGACACTTGTGCTGGTGGTCAGCATAATGTATTCGAATTTTTTGGCACTTTCAAGAAAAGTTTCTCCCTCTTCCTGTCTCTACTCCTGTGAGCATAGTTTTCAGTTGAATTCTATATGATCTGTTGTTGTCGATGTCTCTTAAAATATTTGCTGTCCCGTAAATTTAGTATG